ATGGAAGTCGAAGATCCACCGATTGAGATTAACATCGGCGCAATGTTATAGGTAGATTTCAGGAGCAGGTTAGTCGATTTATTGAAGATATACGAAGATTGATTTTGCATGGGATTATCATGAAATGCCACGATTAAAAAGAGACATAGTTGAACGTAAGTTATCAATCAAAAAAGGGTTTCGTCCACATAAATAACCTTTAAGACATCTTGCTCTAGAGGTAATTTCAAAAGTAGAAGAAGAGATCGAGCGACTACTCAAGGCAAGATTCATTAAGACGGCTAGGTATCTCGAGTGGCTATCCAATATTGTTCTCGTTAAGAAGAAAAATAGAAAATTAAGGGCCTACATCGACTTTAGAGATCTAAATACAACAACTCTAAAAGAAAAGCATCAAATGCTGATGGCTGATATGCTAGTCGATTCAGCATCAGGTAATGAAATTCTATCGTTAATGGAAGGATATTTGGGGTACAACCAAATTTTCATAGCTTAAAAAGTTGTGTCTAAAACGGTCTTCAGGTGTCTAGGAGCCATCAGTACTTTGAATGGATAGTAATGTTGTTCAGATTGAAGAATGTTGTAGCTACTTACCAACAAGCAATGAACTTCATCTTTCACGATATGATCGACAAGTCCACAGAAGTCTACATCAGTGATGTTTTTGTCAAGTCTGACGAGGTAAGTTATCTAGACTGTCTTGAGCAAGCTTTTACTAGGATGTAGGAGTGAAATACGGTAATTTTCTTGGATTTTTTGTAAATCAAAGAGGCATTGAAGTTGATAAAATTAAAACCAAGGCCATTCTAGATTTACCGGCACCAACGAGTAAAAAACAATTACAATTAATTTAGGCTCCGTTCGTTTGGCGGAAAATATTCTCCTTTTGGAAAATATTTTCCCGGAACATAATTTTCCGGTGTTCAGTGATCAATATGAAAAAGTTTCGGAAAATATTTTTCGCGGGCGGCGGCGCGCGGCGCCGGTGGATCGGCGGCGGCCGACCGGCCGCGGCGGGCAGGCGACCGGCGGCGGGCGGCGACCGGCGGCGGCGGCGACCAGCGGCGGTCGGCGACCTTAGTGAAGAAGAAGAAGAAGAAGCTCCAGAAAATGATTTCCGCTTTTGAAGAAGCGGAAGTCATTTTCCATAGACTTAAGCTATTTTGTGAGGGGGGAAGGAAAATATTTTCCCACGGAAAACGTTTTCCGCCCCCCGAACACCGGAAAACCCGGAAAATATTTTCCGGGAGAATATTTTCCGCCAAACGAACGGAGCCTTAGAGAAATTAATTTTTTTACGTCGGTTTATTTCCTTTGTCTATCAAAATCAAAGTGTTATCTGCTATACTTAGATTAAAAACCGATGAAGAGTTTGTTTGAGGAGAAAAGCAACAACTTGCCATCGATTGAATCAAAGAGTATTTGACTAATCATCCCGTATTAATGCCACCTAAAGCATGTAGGTCACTGAAACTGTAGTTGTTGGTGATCGATATGACAATTAGAAGCATGTTAGCACAAGAGAAATGACGAAAATAAGGAGTAGGCGGTGTATTACATCAGCAGAATGTTGAACGACAGAGAGAAGAGATACACCGCAATCGGTAAGCCATGTTTACCTTTGTATTTTGCCTATACTAAGTTACATCATTATTTATAGCCAATTATTGTTCATGTAATATGTAAAACTAATGTTATAAATCATATGATATCGAAGCCCATCACTGGAGGTCGTATTGCTAAATAAGCATTTGCTTTGTTCGAGTTCGATTTGGTGTATGTACCTTTAAAAGCCATAAAAAAAACAGGCAATTGCTAATTTCATTATAGCGTATCCAAGTGTTCAAATTGAAGAATATGAAAATTAAAATTATATGCAAGTAGTTCTATGGACTCAATATTTCGATGGATGTTGTGTAAGTAACTCCTCAGGCATAAAAATATTGATAATTTCTCCTAAAGAGTGTCAAACGAAATTTATGTTCAAATTGGATTTCTCTTGTTCGAAAAACCAAGCAGAACATGAAGCATTGATTATCGGTTTACAAATTTTAGTCAATTTGAATGCACAATTTATCAAAATAATGGGAGATTTCTAGTTGGTTATTAAACAATTGAAAGGAAAATATCAATGTTTCAATGAGAATATCATTATATATTATGTTTTGCCTAAAGAGTTACTTGACAACTTCCTCGATTATGACTTGATTGATATTGCAAAATATGAAAATTCAGAAATTAACGAGTTAGCTCAAATGGCATTTGCTTATTGAATCTAAAAAAAATTGGCAGTAATAGTCATAGAAACAAGAGTTCTGCTATCAATTGAAAATCGAAGTATAATGGCAGATGTTGATTTGGCTAGAAATCAAAAGGATTGGAGAAAGCCGTTTATCGATTATTTAAAATATCCTAATTCAAAAGATAAGAAATTGAAAAGAAAAGCGTTAAAATATATTTTGCTTGGAGATGAATTGCACAAACGGATTGTTGAGGGATTATTATTAAAATGTTTAAGTAAACATGAATCGATATTGGCTATGGCGGAAGTGCACGAAGGCATTTATGATACACAATAAGTTGAAATAAAGATAAATAGTTATTGTGTCAGCATGGTTATTTTTTACCTAGAATAACTCAAGATTGCGCAAAATGGTGTAAATCGTGTAAAATAGATGGACCAATTCGACACATTCCCTTATCAATATTAAATCTCATCGTTAAGCCATGACCATGCAGAGATTGGGCTACGAATGTAATTGGTAAAATATATCCTCCATGGCCCAAACAGCATAATTTCATTATAGTTGCAAGCGATTATTTAATGAAATGGGTTGAAGCGATTTTTTATAAAAGCATTACATAGAAGATAGCGAAGGAGTTCTCATAGTCCATCGGTACGGTATCCCTGAAACAATAACTAGTTTGAGTAAATGCAATGTTTTGAATTCATGACGGTTGCAATAGGTTAAATCTGAGAGAGAGACAGAGAGAGAGAGAGAGATGTGTGATAGAAACCATTACATTGACCTATGTCCATGAGGAGAGATGACTCGATTTTTCTAAGGCCCTATTTAGTAGCATCTACCGGAGAAAAGGGGAGATAAAGTTTTAAATTTCTCTTTCTTTCTCCTCACAGAAAATAATTCTATGCTTGGGAGGCCTAGGGTAATGGAAAAGGAAAGGAAAATACTAGGAGTGAGTAAAACGGACCGATCGAACATGGAACCGCTCGGACTAGATAGAACCGACTGGTTTTGGGCGGTTCTAGAAGATGCTGCTCTGGTTCCCGGTTCCTGATTCCGGGAGGGAACTGGACTGCCCAAACTGGACCGATTTATATATATTTTTAATTTCTTAACTAATAGAAAAAAATGTAAACCTAAACCCTAAAATCTTCTCTCAGCTCACACAACACGCCTCACTGAGCTTGCTCGATGCTCGTCACTCTTCAATCGTTCCCTCTCGGCTCTCATAGACTGTGAACTCTAGGTTGCGCCTTGTTGCCTCTGCCTTTTTCCGTCTTGCTTGACTCTTAGACGGTGGTGCGGCGCGGGAGCTTTGAGGAGAGATTTAAAGGTCTAGGCTCAAGAACTTGGCCTTGGGAGTCTTGTTCTTAATCTGCGAGATGGGGTGGTGAGAGAGGCCAGGGTTTGCTTCTTTGGTTTGCCAATCATAGAGGACTTGGACCTGGTCTTCATGTTTGCAGGAGGAGGATAGTTCTTGAGACACATCTCTCTGTGATCATATATATATCTCGGTTTGCTGGAAATGACTGAACTAGATGATTGAATCCTAAACTCCGATTATTCCTCCATATCTATATCATTACCGGTTCCAATGGATTGCCCGGGGATTGGTCCCCGGTTCCAAAAACTAGGAACCAGTCCCACTGGTTCGATTCATGATTCGTAGGTGGAACCAAATCGGACCGGGAACCGATCACCCCTAGAAAATATTAATAAATTTGAATATACATCCTCTCTCTCTCATAAAAACTTTAGAATTGTCCCCTCAAATTTTCACTCTCCACGCTTTCCTCACTTACCCAATAGCGTCTGGAATTCACCAAAACTTGTCATAATGACCCCTAATTTTCGTCCCGGTTCCCTCCTTCCCAGATAAAACATTACCACTGGGATGTGGCTAACAAGGTGAAGTAGAATCCCTTAACTTCGCAAACCTAGCATCTTCAACCATTAGGACCGTAGAATCTCTTCTAATTTAGGTTCGGATTGATTTTCAGACATATCAATTAGTTAAAACCAATTCTAGAATTCCCCGCTAATTTTCCTCCTCCCTCTAATTGATTGGTAAGTTACGATTATAATCATCACGCATATTATATCCATAACTTGTAACCCACTAATTAGAAATATTGAATCACATCACCCTTTTCAAAGATTGATTAATTAAGGTGTTACTTCATGGGCATGGATATTATTAATGCATTTAGGCTTGTAAATTGTCGACATATGTTGTGCTATCAAGGATACATTCTTATATAAAGATCATTCTCCGTTGGGAAAATGACACAAACAGTTCTTGAACTTTGACTCAATGTGTAATTTGATCCCTAAACTTTTAATTTATTCAATGTAGTCCCTGAACTTTAATCTAATGTTCAATTTGGTCCCTGAACTTTTAATTTGTTCAATGTGGTCCCTGAACTTTTAATATGTGTTCAATTTAGTCCCTGAACTATTTGAAAATGTTCAATGTAGTCCTTCCATTAATTCAAGTGCAGGGACTATATTGAACATTTTCATATAGTTCAGGGACTAAATTGAACACATATTAAAAATTCAGGGACCACATTGAACAAATTAAAAGTTCAGGGACCAAATTGAATATTAGGTTAAAGTTCAGGGACTACATTGAACAAATTAAAAGTTTAGGAACCAAATTGCACATTGAGTCAAAGTTCAGGGACTGTTTGTATCATTATCCCTTCTCCGTTTTGAGCGGACCTTAACATAGATTGTATCGATGTTGCGGTCTAGGGCAACCGAGCAAGAAAATAGAAAGATAGAATATCGTTATAAGAGTTCCACCTATATAAGAAGTTGAATAATCAACTAGCTATATGCACTAATTAACTTTTTTTCTTGAAGCGCTAATTCAATCATAACTATTTGAAATCACAGGCTTCGCTGTTATTGAGATCACGGGCTTCTAATCCTTTATTGTTTGCTATGACAAGATGTACCAGTAGGCTGTCTGAGACTTGAGCTTCGGTAAGGAAGCCTGCAAGATGACGATATGGACAGAGATATTAACTTTGCAAAAAAGGTTTCTCAAATTGAAACCAAAGTGGCTTGGTTGACAAAAAAAAAAAAATGCATAAAAAGACAATAGTCTTGGAATTCGTGATGATAATGAGATGAATCACAGACAACAACAGGACGGGGATAAAATCCTCCAAGGGCAGTCTATACGCCCACAATACTGTCATTCACATGCTTTAACTCTTCGTAAAGAAACAGGGGTCCCACCTGAAATGAATTTCATAGTTGAGCAAAAAAAAAAAAAAAAGAATATCAATGTTAGATATAAACTGAGACTTCCTAATAAATAGGTATACTTGGCGGACTGCGATGGCAGGTTATCATCATTAAAAAAAATTATCAATATCATTAACTATCCTAAACTGATATCCTCGTAACACATTTATCCCAAACTAACCTTCCCATGACAAAAAATCTCAAATCGATACCCCATGACTCCCACAGTAAATTTTCATCTCACAAAAATGCCAAACCGGTACCCATGACACATTTTATCCCAAATCAATTTTCGTCTCACAAAAAATGCCAAATTGGTACCCCTCTTCAAAATCCACCCTCCATTAAAATGCAAATGTGTCAACATACGTGGATTTTTCACGTCGGATTTGTCATTTTCCATGACAGAATTGTCTTGAAGTCATATGTCACATTTGTTGACACGTATACAATTTAATGAGATATTGAACAGAATGTTAACGAAAATGTAGATTTGGGTTAGGATACTGGTTTGAAATTTTTTATGAAACGAAAATTAATTTGGGTAAATGTGTCGTGGACATATAGGCTTGAGAATTTTAATGATATTAACTCTTTTAAAAAATGATTCATAGTCGATAATCAATCAGAATCTATAACATCACTTAATATATCAATTTTGTAAACTCAATTTTTATACACCGGGCAATTATCCAATTCTTAAGAAAGTACAATCAATCATAATCTATAACATCAATCAGCTAATTATCCAGTTCTTTAACCCGACGCATAAACTAACCCACAATAGTATCAGCTAATTACAACAAAAAAAATAAACTAATATAAGCTCCAAGAGGCCGGGGCTAAAAGATGTGAAGTTTTCCAAATATCAAATAATCTAAATGCAAATCAATTTGATTACCAGAAAACACAAAATTAAAGGGCATCAAGATATATTACGTATTCATTTTCAGTAAATCAGTTTGTATATGTATGCTCACCCAGCCAAACTTCAGGGATGAGAGCTATCATCATCCACAGGAGGAACGCTATTGCTGCTCATGGAAACGTTGTTAACCGACTCCAACGGCATGCCTTTGGCCTCTAGAACCGCATTATCACCCTCCGAGTCCACGGTCCGCGATTTCCCTCGACGTAAATTCATCATCTTCATCTGCAATTTACCGAAATAAAATGACCACCTTTTGACACTGATGATTCTTTTAACGAAAAAGAGAACGCACGGCAACATGTTAGCGACGAACAAGTAATATTGTTCATGAGGAAGTAATATTACTTCCTGTTTCAGTTGCTTGTTCAATTTGATCCACCGTGCTTCCTGCAATTTCAGCAAGAAATAGTCTTCAAATCAACAGATAGTCTTCTCGACCCGTAAAACTTGAAGATGTACTTTAACGTTATGCAATGTTCACAACATATGAAATTATTCTGCACACATGGGTCTAGTGAGTGTACACGAACCTTTCTCTGCAGTTTGTGGATCTCGCTTAATGCTCGCTCCTCCTGGAAAGACAGGAACGACCAACATGGCGAAAATACAAAAGAGTGAAACAAAAACAACACATGAGGGACCCTTCTTTTGGTTCTTAGAGAAACCAAATGAAAAAATCTAATGAAGAGACCTCAGTCTTGATCACGAGGCTCAGTGCCGCCTCGAGTTTCTTCTCTAATTGTCCCAATTCCTTCATGTTTAACCCCTCCAGATACTCTCCCTTGATCTGCCTGTGACAGAAGTTGGGAATAAATTTAACTGATCTGCGAAAAGGAGGAACAAGGGAAAAAAAACACATAATTTCGACTCAAACAAGCACAGAAAACAGATGCACGCACCTCAGTTTGTGAAACTCATCGCTCACTTTCTTGCGCAACACTTCGTGATTGTAGTTCTCCATCTAAGACAACAAAAACAAGCGCTAAGGTTAGATCGTCCATATGAAATTCGTTCTAATCCATTTATATAAGTGTTTCATATATGTCGGTATTATACTCTAGGGAAAAAGAATGCAGGACTTGCCAATTTGAAGAGGAATGTTTCGTGTAATAGAGAGATTACATGTCTCATTTCACGAACATATGTCTTAAGTTTGAAGAGATCATAGAAGCCTAGAAGGCATATTTAAGCAAGTGATTTACCTGGAGTTTAAGACATGGTTGGACCGGTTTCTCAACGTTATTGGAGTGGAGAACATAGCTTGTTAGTGTATCCTCCATACTTCACAGAAAAAGGACAAGATATAAAGAGAGTGACCCAACAAAAAATGCACCTAGAGTGTATTGACCTATTGAAAAAACAAAAAAAGTTTCAAAGTGCAGTGACCAACATCAAGATGCGTGTGCATAGTTTTTTTTTTTTTTTTTTTGTAACCAAGGATCTGCCACCATTTCCTGGAGACGAGCCCGCACAGGTAATCGGGGCGCCTATACCTCGGGGGAGACTAGCCCAGCAACCCACCGCCAGGGCCCCCCACTTAAATTACGGAACCGAGCGGGGATTCGAACCCAGAACCTCTCTGAGGGAAGGAAAGCGCCCACCAACTCGGCCATGCGCAGGTGGGTTGCATAGTTCATCGCATTATAATTAAAGAAACTTTGCTATTTTCAAATTTGTGTATATATACATGATGGGTGGTAAAAAAGACAAACGAATATGGTGTCCCGGTGTTAGGTTATCCATATGTGATGGATACCGCCTCCATAAAAATAAGAAGGTTAGGCCAAGCCTAATTAGCTAGCCATGGCGGCTGTCGAAATAAAGCTCGGGAGGCAAGATATGAAAATTCTATATAGAATAATTGTTTCATTAAAACCCATACCAAGTACCAAGGGGTATAGATAGCAAACGTTTGCAAAAGTACTAACGAGGATTGTAAAATCTTGATCTAGCCCATTTTGCTTTTACTATGGTACACGTTTGTATACTTATGGTGCATGTCTGTTAAAGTGCTGAACTAGGATATGAGAATCTTGATTGAGGTTGAGATCATGTTTGTATAGTATAGGACATTTTGTCTTTTAGTATATAATACACGTGTGTACATGTCTGTAAAAGTGCTGACCAAGGATTGTAAAATCTTCATCAAGTCCCGTCAAGATTATTTCGGATTGAGTTTTCTTCTGTTGGCTAATTAAATGGATTAACTTTTACTTTCATTTTGAAATTAACTAAAATCTTATATATGTATACGAAACTCCTCGGACTTTCTTAATATGCAAATACTAACACGTAAATTCATATATAATTTACTCATAATGTTCTAAAACTTGAATGACATTCTAGATTTTGATGGAAAAAAAGAAATTTTTTACTTTTTACATAAATATAAACAAACATACCTAAACAAAGCTTGAAGGAGGGAAAAGAATACAAAGAGAGAACACATGTAATTTGCCACAAGTGTTCAGCACACCAGAAAGAGATCGCAACATCAAGCTGTTGTAAATATTTTTGGAGATTACTAAAGTTCCCCATCCTAGTTCTGAAATTCGTGGTTCTACGTTTCTCTCTCTCTCTCTTTCTCTCTCTCTCTCCTTGCTTCTTTTGGAAGTTCTGAACCTAGGTGCTTTTATATTCTCTCTTGCTGTTCTTTTCAAGTTTTGATCACCGTCCCCAACATAAGAATATAGATCTCAACTTTCGATCTAATTTTAAATTTCTATGTATTGCATACTTTGAGCAGAAATTGCAACAAAATGCGCGTGCTTATCATGACCAAGACATAGTGATCTCCCAGGAGACGATTGAAGTACCCAAATATGCACTCTCTATAGGGATGCATCATCTGACGATGAATTGTAGACTTATGAAATTAATATTTGAGTACCTGGAGCTGGAGAAATCATAGAGCTTGCCAGTGGCTGAGAAGATGATGAGGGACACGTCAGCGTCACACAGCACGGAGAGCTCCTGAGCCTTCTTCATCAGCCCTCTTCTCCTCTTCGAGAATGTCACCTGCCTCGCCGTCAAGTTGTCTATCTTCTTTATCTTTATCTTCTCCCTCGCCATTTTCCTTGTATCTCTTCTCAAATTCTTTCTAAGCAAGAAAAAGCAAAAAAAAAAAAAAAACAAACAAAAAGAAATCAGAAGAAACCAGGTCAAGAAACTAGAGGTATTTCACCTAGATTGAAACATGATGAGCCAGGAAATAATATCGAAAGAGCAATACAAGGATCTTGAGTCATATGGTAAACGTTCTGCGAAACAAAGTCACCAGAAAACCCTAGGAAAATAGGAAACCAGTTCAGATCCATGAGCACAAGCAGCAAAACACACTCACAAAAAAAGTATAAGATGCCCAGAAAATGCAAAATAATTGAGGGAAGGAGTGAAGATCTCTGGGTTTTGTGATTTCTCTTGATTTTTTTTTTTCCTGGGGAGGGTTTACCTTGTTCGGATGTTGAACCAGATGTGGTTCGTTTGTCTGATCATAGCAACAAAAAGAAAGCCACCAGTGAGAGAGAGAGAGAGAGAGAGAGAGAGAGAGATAGAGAGAGGGAGATAGAGAGAGGGAGAGAGTGTGCGCGTGTGACCCGTGTGATTGGGGGTTCGAGAATTGAAAACGGGGTCTTCCCTTTTATTAGCCAAGGAGGGTATCTTTCTATTATCATCTTTTAGTATTTGTCATTTACATTTGGACTAAAAAAGATGGGAAATATCCTTGAGAACTTTAGTTTATTCATTTAAATATTGCTTTTCCACACATTAGCGTGTTTTGAGCTCTTTCGGCGCCAACAAAGTATGAACTCGCTATTTATTTATTTAGTTATTAATCCTTTATTTTAAGGAATAATCGTCCAAAATTCCTAAACTTATTATACAGCATTTAATTCAGTTGTAAACTTTTTAATTTGCTAATTTAATCCCAAACCTTTTGATGATTTTTTAATGTAATCCTCTCGATCAATTTTGGCCTAGAAATGCTTATGTAAACACGATTAGTGCTCACGTAGAAAATTTTTGTATTTTTTAAAATGTTCTTTTCCTTTTATTTTGTTTTCTTTTGTTTTCTTTTTTTCTTCGTTGGATTCTGGGGCGGCGGGGTTCCTAGGCCCTGCTGGTGACTCTCGTCGGCCTTCGCGCCCTCCCTTGGATCTTGGCGAGGGTTGCTAAGGCCCCAACAACTGGTCAGTCGAAAATCTGATAAAGGAAAAAAGAAGAAGAAAAGAAAGAAAAAAGGAAAAAAAAGAGAAAATTTCCAAAAAATTCAAAAAAGGTAAAAAGTGTTCATGTCAGCACTGACCATGCCACGTTGGATGGCGGACGTTCACGTCAACGATTTCCGGTCAAAATTGATCGTAAGGACTACTACATTGGCAAATCATCAAAATGTTTAAGACTAAATTAACCAAATTGAAAAGTTTAGGACTGAATTTGCTACCGTATAATATGTTTAAGATTTTTTAGACAAATTTTCCTTTATTCTAGTGAAGGATTATGCTCCTTTGAGGGATGTGATCTCCTGACCATTTATATATGAGTATTGCATCTTGGAGAAATCGAGCGAACTCTCTACTTCATTGTTTTATATTCAATGGCTATCAAATAAGTTCAAATTGGTTCTTCTTTTCTTAGTAAGTAGACTAAGAAAAGAATATTAGAGTATGATCATTATGTTTAGAAGATAGAATCTCGAAAGTAGCTGATTGGATTTTGGATTACATATTTATTTACGAAAAGCACTGTCATTAATACAATGTCTTTGATAGCTTTTCCCTACTTTCTTTCCCTACATTTTTCTGATTTTTATCACTTCTCTTTGAATGCCCCGGAAGATGTGTATTGGCTCCCTCATTTTTTGGTCAATGTTTCTGTAAGTTCTCAAGAAATTATTTTTCCTAAGGTTTGTAGCCATTGACACGTAATGTAATATATCTCAATTATTGATTGAAAACACTCTAACAAATTAAATAATTACTGGGGACACTTTTGCTATAATAAATATTGTTTATCCCATTAACTTTCCTCCAACTTGGTGAGTTTTAATAATACCAGATGAGCTTTTGGAAAAAAAAATTAATTGATGGAGGAGCTCCTATGGATAATTCATAGTGAAAAGACAAAAAAGAAAAACACATCGACTTATGAAGGATTTTCTTTCTACATGGACAAAAGTTACTCGAAGTGAAAGCTTCCACAAATTTGGTTAATATTTGCCACATCGCAGCTCAGTACATTGCATGTGTTCACCAACCCACGCAAGCAAAATCTTATCTTATGCAGTGTGGAAAAGTGGAAGCTTCAAGAAATTTGTCGGGAAAATTATCTAAAAAGTCTTAAACCTATTGCACTTTTGCCAATTTTGTCCTAAACCTTTTAAGTTTGCCAAATTAAGTCATAAACCTTTATGCTTTTTGCCAATTGAGTCCTAAACCTTTACTCTTCTTGCCAATTGAGTCCATTCGGCCAATTTTGATCAGAAATCGCTGACGTGGATGCCGGCCAGCCACGTGGCACTGATGTGGACATTTTAAAATAATATTTTAATAATTTTTTGAAATTTTTATGGTTTTTTTCTTTTTTTTTCCTTTTCTCTATTTTTTTTTTTGGGGTTTTGGAGTTGACCAGCGAGGGTGGCCGGTCGACCCTCGCCGGCCAAAGCGAGGGCGCGTGAACCCTCGCTCGGATCCGGCGAGGGTTGCGACGCCTTCGCTTTGGCTGGCGAGGGTTGACCGGCCACCCTCGCCGGCCAACTCTAAAACCCAAAAAAAAAAAAAACAGAGAAAAGGAAAAAAATGAAGAAAAAAACCATAAAAAATTCAAAAACTTATTAAAATATTATTTAAAAATGTCAACTCAGCGCCACGTGGCCACTTGGCGTCCACGTCGGTGATTTCTGATCAAAATTGGCCGGATGGACTTAATTGACAAGAAGTGTAAAGGTTTAGGACTCAATTGGCAAATTTGAAAGGTTTATGACTCAATTGGCAAAAGTGTAATAGGTTTAGGAATTTTTGGACAATTTTTCCGAAATTTGTCTAATGTTTGCCACGTGACATTGCACATAGCCACGTGTTCACCACCAATCATAGATGGACAAAATTAATGTAGAAATGATATGAAGACAAAAGGGATAAGAAGTGTAGAGTATTAGTTTTCTGAACAAACACTATGCTTACTAATTATCAATCAAATTATCATAAGTAACGTGATGGGCAAACAAACTTAAGCAAATCAATTTATTTTGAATTTTAAGGTCCATTTGTTTCGCAGAAAATGAATGGTTTGGAAAATATTTTCTTAAAAATGATCGTCTATTTCGCTTGAAATGATTAACAGATGAAAACTGTTTGCATTATCGAAAACAATTTATGTCTAAATATTTTAGAAAATGATGGAAATATTTTTTCATCCATTCATTTTTGTTAGCAAAGCAATATTTTTTAAGAAAATGTTTGAATCATTCATTTTTTGCGAAACAAACGCGCCTTAAGAGGCAGTAACGATAGTATTAGGATTTAGGCAAGCAACCAAACTTAAGTAAACTAACTTGTCTTGATTTTCAAAATGTGAAAGCATTGTGAGCAAGAAGTAGACAAAAATTACTTCATTGAAAATTCAAGCAAACAAAAGTTAACTACTGCATCAGTAAATGATGAATCCCAAACTAAAAATAAGTATCTCAACTTATGTAACGTATATAACAAATTAAAAGTAACTATTGTAAATTCAGTTACAATATATATATATTTCTTGAACCGTTAATTATAATTTTATTGCCGAATTATAATGACAGGAATGATTATATAATACTTTTTTTAGTAAAGGTTGTTTTTATTCCCTCTACAATATCACGGTGAATGGGATTATAATCATCTCAATTTAGGAGGTATACCCCCTTGATATACTGCCATGTTAACATTAGAACACCTAACAGATTATATGCATCTACATTAACATGACAAGAAGTGGAACGGATTCAATAGAAAAAGACAATTGGGCTATTACTCAAGGAGTTGCAACTCAATGATGACTCAGAAGAGCCGCTTCTTTCTTGCTCTTGGCTTCGTCGTTTAGTGGTAACGAGTGGAATGCATAAACCATTTTTAGAGAAAGGGGTTTTGCCGTAGAGTACCTTGTATAGGATTTTAAACCAATCCCCTAATAAGTGGAAATGGGCAAGCCTGAAAACGTTCAATTTAAAAACTTCAATTGACAATGAAATCAAATCCATCAATCCTTTCATTAAAGCTGTAGGTAATAAGGCATACCAATTTAGAGAGAAACGAAATTCATTTTCAACATGTTATAGTAATTAGTAAGTCCATGTAATATCACGTGGTGGGGCTACTATCTTCAACAAAAATGAAAGATGTATATCCATATGAAAATCAAAACTACGCATGTTTAAAGAAATCATCGTTGCTATATGTACCAATAACGATTCATTGATTTAAAATTTAACTGAATAAGTAAATAAAATAAATAGACTTTTCTCTTCGTCATCATTGAAATGAAATTTTATGGGTGATTGAAGAACAAATTCCCTGCAAAAGTTGTAGTTGTGAAAACAACGAATCAATGTATATACACCTACATACGGACAAAGCATTTTATCAGAAAGTTTCCTTGTTTAATTTCAATTTCAAGATGCTGCAACATTACGATACGTCTTTCCGGATGCAGCAGATACTGCAACTTCACACATGGCAGCACGAGCATGAACATCCGCCATCTTGTCCCGGATTTGATCTCATCGGTGTACGTGTCCATGATAGTACGTCGAGACCTAATTTGTAACGTCCTCACTTCGGGATTTATTGGTGTGACGTCCCAGGTGCGTTGCCGACCTAGTTTTTTTTTTTTTTATCTTTTCTTTATGATCATGTGGAAGCATGTACAATAACAAATACCCAGACAACACAACAAATAAGCAGCCAGGAAAATACCATACAAAACACACTAGTTCCATATTAGCTCAGTACATTTACAAGCCCCTTTTTTTCTACGGGTACTTCTTGTTTACATTATGCTTCTATTCAAAAACGTAGGCTGGGGCATTTCTATCACCTCTAGCAAGGCTGCAACTCCAAATCGGTACATCATGACGAATAGGAGGTGAGAGGTCCATACCTACAAGTCTGAAAAGACAATAGAGTGAGTTGAAAATAAAATCACTAATCTTGAGTTAGGATGACGTCTCGTCATTGAACCCAGTATGCGAACATCACTTGCACCATAGCATCAATGGCAGATCAATAGCAATACTAATGCTGTACCTCGACTATATGCATGTGATCAATTCCGGCTCACCGTCAAGGCACGATTTATCTTCGACTTATCAATAAACTTAACAACACAACACATCAACATGCATCAAAGGTTCATTAACCATCTCACATGATTCTTCCTATACTCTCAAGGGCTTCCCGCCTCAGGCTAAGCATTCAGAATCCACTGAGCATCCTATACACTCAGGGGCTTCCAGCTTCAGGTTGGACATCCAGAATTCACTGGGCAATGTCACCAAAATCCATTGGCGACGGCTATTTGCTTTATGTGACCACACAACAAGCATTCACGCAAGCCGAATTCTTATCTTTGTTTCTTAGCC